AGGGCTTTCTTTCCCCGGAGACAATTAGCAAACTGTTTGTAATATCGAGGTGTCCATATTAAGTGGGTGCCCATATATAAAGCGAGGTTTGACTGCAGAAGAGAACCCTGAGAATGAGGTTGAATGCCACTACCTATGCTATTGATGTCGGCATCGCTACTGTTACTGCCACAGTTACTGCTCAAAACCACCAGGAGTGCCAATGCAGAGACTGGAAAAGCCCATGATAATTTCTGCTCACAAAATAATATGTTATGGAGAAAAATAAACAATGACCTCCACAGTTTCCCTACTACCATTGAGCTTTGTAAATGCACCATATAAAAAATAAGGAATTTCATAATGATATTATTTAGAGAGATTTGTGAAATGACATCTGAGGAACAACAACAGAAATTTCTTACTGATGACATGTCATAACCCAGATCTCGGAAAACTGCTTCTGATTGGCCGTGCCATGAAAACAACATCCATTGGTACACATGGAGAGGCTCAATATTCTATGTTCCCAGACAAAGGACACCAGTGCCACTAATATTTTAGTAACCTTTTTTTTTAAAGGCATTTACTGAGACAAATTTATGATTCGAAAATGCATAATACTTTACATTATCATTCGAAGCAAATTTTCTTCCTTTTCATTGGCTGAAAGCCCACCATGTGACCTGTGAATAACTACCTACAAATAAGGTCTGCTCAGGCGCAATTGTGTCATCCTACTGTGTTTGGCTGCAAATAATACTTTGCTCATGCATGAAAAAAACCACCCTTTTCTCCCTTTTGCGATCCCTTTTTCGTGAAAATGGCAGCTTCCCAAAGATATTTATCAAACAACAAACTTGGTCACTGAATGATAAAACAATATTATTGAACTCGGTTATTGAAAAATATCACAATTTGTCAGTGTCTAGCAGATCAATTATTTGACTCAGCCTTTGGTTTTCGGCAAATAACAGTCCATTTTACAGTTACAGTATAGGTGGAAACGAGGCTGGAGTTGACCTTGTTTTGATACAACCCTTCCACCTTTATTGTGTTTATCAAAGTTGTTCTTTTGCTAACTAGTATTTTTAGCACAATTTTCATAACAAAAGAAAAGAGGTTTGTATCAAAACAAGGTCAACCTCAGCCTCACATTCACTCAGAGGCTAAGGTACTTAGCTCATAACATTAAAATGGTCTATTGATCTGCTCACCACTGACAAATCACGATATTTTGCTCAACCACGTCCACTAATTTTTAATTATGAACTGAAAAACTTGGAAGTGTAAGCTATATCTGTATCAGCTGTTTTTGAGAAAAATCACCATCTCCAGCAGAACACTTCAGGGAAATGCAGAAGAAAATCAGTTACAACAAAAGGGGTAATCACTACTTCCTTGATTGCACCTCAGTATGTTCCTCCCGCCCTTGATGATGAGGATGATGATGAGGATGAGAATGAGAATGATGATGATGATGATGATGATGATGACGATGATAAGTTAACAATAATAATGAAATGGCTAAAAGTCCTACCGTAGATAGGAAGTAGATCATGGTGTCAGCAGAAAATCCCCTGCAGAACGGTGGCAATGTTAAGTGCAGCTGTCTTTCTCGTCTGTTTGGATAAATAGCCCACAAAGAAAACGCATTCATGGAAGCCAAGCTTATGTTTCCTCCACTAACATACAAACAGGATGCACTCCACGTGAACTTGTATGTCGTGATCTTCGTTTCTATAGTTTCGAGGACATTTTCCCCTGTCTGTGAGATATTGGAAGTACTACCATTGATCGGAGATTCCGACGATCCGGCTAAATGAGTGAGATTGTCTCTACCACGTAGGAAGGTAACGGTGATCTTGATCAGCAAAGACGGCAAATCCACAGACGGATAAACAGCCTTAGAAATATTATAGTAGTTATCATATGGCGGCTGCGATGAAATTAAATAGCGTTGTATATGCTCTTCTCGTTCCATGCACGTTGCAGACATCTCCTGTGATCCCGTCAACAGTACCAGAAAAGCCAACTCCACCGGCAACAGACCCATGTTAGTTCCTGAATTTATCTTAGTCCTGTGCATGTCCTTGCACCTCTCTCTGTGTCACGCTAGACTGGAATTTCTCAGTGTTCGTGAGAGATCGTGACGTTTCGGGTTAATCGAGAGAGCCTGGGAAGAGCAATACTAAAGTTACTTTATTGTAACGCGGGCTCATTTCCCCGAATCGAGCCACTGGACATGATTTGGGTACCGGCGAAGGTGGTATTTCGAGGTATTGTGAGAATGTGATCAGACGTGGCAGTATACTGAGAGTAAAGCGTCGCTCACAGGCCAGTCAGTTACATTTATACTGCGCCAGCGCCTCAGGTGGGCAGTCAGTCGTGTCGAGGAGGGTTGGCACATACGGAACCAACTCTGCTGAAAACCTAGCGTCCGACCCTGCATAACGTCGCTTTTTAATTCCTCCCAAGCAAGATGGCTAGGATTGGCGAGGGGCAAGGAATTCCCAGCAATGAATTTAAAAAGGCTATCTACGCCATCAGAGGAAATAATCGTCAGACAAAAGGAATGGCATGTGCGGTTGCTATTGAAGGACAAAACGAAGGCTCTGTTCTGTTAGTCACTGACACTTGGAATGACCCAGAACCGATCACGGGATGTCTATTGCACCGCTATTCAAGGATAGAGCAACACTTCAGAGACTATCAACTCAAACCTGTAAGCATCAGTCAACGTGGGGACTTTTCGCTAGTCATATGCGATGGGAAAGACACCAACTTTAAGATAAAGAGTCTCCATAAAAAGTGTTTGAGTGGTCAGCAACTCGAGAGGGACTTCCGGGTTTACACGATTTATCGAGATAAATGTATCGATCTGGAATTAAAATACAGCAATGGTGGTCACAATCTTATTGACAACAACTTACCTGATCTCACATTATGCGGATGCCCCATCATTGATGGAGATAACTCTGAAAAATATCTTGTGGGAGTTTTGACGATCAACGCGAAGGGCAAAGCTACTCCTCGTTTCCTGTCTAATGGGGTGTTAGGTGAGTAATGTTAATAATGAGGAATGAAAAGTAGGTAGGTTGAGTTTGATCGTCCGGGTGAACGTAGTCCTGAATAGGACTGTTGTTGTTGACAGTGACTGACGTTTCGACAACCTGTGCGGTAGTCATCTTCAGAGTCAAAGTGAGTTGTATCACGTCAGTTGATGGTATTATACTCTATTATGCAAAATTATTTGTATTTGTAAATTTTTTGCTAATCAAAGGAGCCCTGTCTTTTTCTATATTCATATTAATATCTTTATATGAGCAGTGTCTACATATGTTATTCAAGTAAAGCCAGTTTTTGTGATCGTGGACTAGTGTCTAGAGTACTGCTAAGGTCAACACTGCAGACACTGTCAATCAATACATTGACTGTGATTATAGAACATCTCAGTGTCACATTTACTTTTACAGTCAAACCAGGTCGGGTGTTCCCGTCGCGAGCAAACTAATGAATTCATTAATGGAAAAATGATTTAGTTTGTTGATTCAATCATCCATTCATAAAATGAATAATCCAACAGTCATATTGGACCTCGATTTAATATTAAATGTTGATTTGGTTTATGAACAAAATCTACCTGCTCTTTATTCTTGTCTGTTGAGTTCAATCGTATTTGCTTCCCTTTTCCTGCCGTTTACGATTGGGTTTTTAATTGCCTTTTATCAAAGTAACAGCTAGAATAGACAGACCGCAAAAGCAAAGAAACTGACAAAGGCTGGGGATCGAAATCCACCAATCACTGCACATACACTGACCTCAGTTTAACTATTGTGTTTTCTAAGAGGTCAGGTCCATTGCACTGATTACTGGAAACAAAATGTCGTACATGTAACAGTTTGTTTGGGTTTGAACTTCACAACTCGCCCAGACAAAACAAAATTCTGAGGTTGACTTGTGGAAAGTGTAGTTTTTCAAAAAAACAGTAATTGAATCAACATTCCATTATGGAATCGAGGCTAAATATGAATATTGGATTGTTCATTTTATGAATGGATTATTGAATCAACAAACAAAATCATTTTTCCATTAATGAATTTGTTAGTTCATTAGCTACGGGAACGCTTGACCTGGTTCGACTGTAAAGGACTTAGTTTCCTTTGTCAACGCATATAGCAATTTCTGTTAGCTGAGTTTTGTTTTGTCAGTGTGTCTTAAGATCATTGAAGTACATCATTAACTTCAATATTTTTAAACTGAAAATGTACATCATTCTGAGTAAGAGGGTGCATTTATTTAATAATTTCTTATCACAGATCCGCCTGAATTCACCTCACACCAACAGAGTCAGACATTGATGCAAGAATCAAGTGTAACCTTTTCAAGTGATGCAAATGGTGTTCCTGAACCAACATTTTCTGGGACCAAAGATGAATCTTCTGTAACTCCCGACAATAGAATCAGTTTATTAGCAGATAACAAGCAACTGAGCCTAAAAAATGTGAATGAGACAGACAGTGGAGAATACAGATGTGTGGCTGCCAACAGTGTGAGGACAGTTAACTCCAATGCTGCTACATTGACAGTAGAATGTAATTAAGAATACCTTTACTCACTTTTTACTTATGCCCAATTTTTATTGCCGTACAGTCCTGCAGAGCTAACTAAAATGGTCTTTCAATATCCGTTCCATTTCTTTTCTTCTGGTTTGTCTCTGCAGCCACTACATATGAGCTTAGTTGATCACAAATACTAAAAAAAGGAAAAAAAACTTGTCCTTGACCTCAGTTGCCTTTCACGTTTTTAAAAATTCAGAGTCAAAACTGTTAGAAAACACAATTTTTTGTTTGTTTTCTTTGCTGATCAAGGGAGCCTTTCTATTTCCATATTCATATATCTGTATAAAACCTCTTTTGAAGCAACACTGGTGAGTAGTATCTAACAACAACAACAACAACAACAATTTTTATTCTTGCATGCACTAGTATAAACAAAGTAAAACGAAGAAGTTCAGTGATCGAATTAACTACTCAGTGCTTACTGATGTACTTAATTGATTAATATAACAATGCACTAAGATAAGGAGTCTCTCTTAAAGATAAGTAACGCAGAAAAGGAAAAGGAAAAAATTAAGAGTGTGTCCATGAGAGAACCAGGCAGGAGGTGATAATGCTCAAATCACGGATTTCGCTCAAACTTGGCACAATTGATGGGTTTGGTGAGATATTAACCTCGACAAAAAATAAGGTTGCAATGTTGAATTCCCTGGGATTTACAGGGACCCCCTCTAAAAACGACAAAATCTATTCCTTTTTGCATAATTAATTAGCTGACTTTGGTTTGGCTGTTCAACAAGAAGAAAAGACAACTTCAAATCTAATCAACTTTTCCATCTTTTATGTTTATCAAACTTAATGCTCAGTAATTTATTTTTACTCTCTAATTCGATCTCTTCCTATTATTTAGCCTAAAGTAAGGACATCTTCTCACTGTTTTGACCAAACCCTAAATTTAAGGTATTTTAGTGGCTAACATCTCCCATGAGCAACAACCTATGTACTTAATTCTCACATATTCTTTGAAAGACATCTTTAAGGTTATCAAATCAGTCATAAAATCTTTGGGCAATCTGATACTTTATCAATAATGACGTATTATGTGCATCTGACTTGACGCTTATTTGTCATTTGACCAAAATTGGAAGAAACGTAACATTCGTTTTTTTAAACAAAAATAGCACAAAGTTGACGAGAAGTCACAAATCAGATGCGTCATTATCGATACTAATAGCGGAATTGTTAGAACGTGTCACCTGAGGCATGTTTTCCGTGTTATTTATGGACGTTTGGATGGATATTTTATGGAACGCTTGAGTAAACACAAGGAGCAAAAGAGTTAGTTCAAAACTTCGATCGGTCCAACTTGTAGGTGAAACAAGACCCAAAAAGGATAAGAGATAGTGAATAAATGTTACATACACGTCTCTCAGGTGCTTTAGTCCAGATTTGCTGCTCCAGTTTCGTCTGGTCCTTTGTGGCGTTACTTCGTGACGAGGTAATGAAATCGAAACATCTTGAAACATTGCAGAATTAAAAGTGTCGGCTTTTTACCGAACATTCGAAGTCTTTGAAATAAGTTGTAGTCAGAAAGAACAAAATCATTCTCAAAGGACAAGAAGGATCACTGACAATCCGTCTATATCTACAGAAAACAACCAACTGCTCGAACACCCTCCATCTTTGACTCTGCCAAAAAGATGGAATCTGTGACGCCGGACTACCGGACTCCGGAATGCGGAATACGCTATCTATTGTTGTACGCGCCAATATCCTGTTATAACTGGTGTGTTGAAAATAGGTTGTGAAAGTCGTGTTACTTGCAATTTTGAGTTTATTCGATGTTGATATTAATTACCATGATAATAATGGTCCATAATAACCCTTTTTGTAGTCAGACCGTGCCGTGCAATTTTTAGACAATTTTAAAATGACTTGCACTGGGTATAATTACTTACTTAGTTGTATTTTAATCCTCGTAGTCTTACAACTATACAGGTTGGTATCTGTATCTGGGTATATCAATGACTACAAAAATATAATAATAACCGTTTATAAACGTGTTGAGGAAAAACTTCTGAGGAATACAAAAGACCCAAAAGGGGGCACTAATACATTGCAAAAAAAGTCGGCTAGACTTCTTTGGCTATAAGGAAGGTGTAAGAGAACAGTTTCTTGAACACAGACTAATACACTATATTCACTTCTCATTTAAACTGTCATTTGCGGATTCATACAGTAGATTAAGTTCTCTTAAGCGACACTCTCGTATATAGCGAATGGCTCTACTTACGACCGCCATCACAAAATCCCGTTTCAACTCCCACACAAACTCTGGATTTTCACATTCCCGTAGGCAGCCGCGGACACTTAAAGGGTTTACCGGCGAATTAGATGTTAGCTTTGATTTAAAGCTCTCCTAAGCAGACACTCGAAAGAAATCTTATCCGCCTCTGAAGGTTGTTTTTTTTTTTTCATATCATGTCCACAGTCATATGGCTGTTTGTCACTGTTATGAATCATTCTTATATATCCGTTTCAGAATTACCGTTTTTACACATACTCGTCCGCTTACACTTGAAAATACAAACTGAATTGTATGCTTTTACCTAAATTAAAACAAGACAAGAACATCAGCGTAACCATACACTAAAAAACAGTTTTTTGTTATTACCAGTGTTAATTTGTAGCTGGGAGGAGCTTCCGTAAGCGGCTATCTAACCTTTACACCACTTTTAAAGTGGCTGAATTCCACTTGCATATCTATGCTGCATACGAGATTCATTCTTGTAAGCGGCCAGATCCAGTTAAGGACACCTTTTTCTCGTCCCCAGGGCGCCCTCGTACGAGAGCTTCCACTGTATTACAATTTTAGGATTTCTCTTACATTTTAACAAATTTTAAACTTAACGAGGCACAGTCGAACCTACGTGCGACCACCCAACTTAAGTGACCACTTCCCAATAAGCGGTCACTTATTCAACACACCAAATAAATTATCAAGTCAAAGCGCTTGTAGTTGGAACCTCCTGTAAACGAACACATCCACATCCAGTAAGCGACCGCGACCACTTTTTACGATGACAGTCTGATTGAGAATTTTCCATGATGCAATGGTCTGATCTCTGCGTTCCCTGTATGTCCTAAGCTACTCGGAGTATGAGAGGAACTTTAGAAACAAATTAGATTTATCTATAGTATATTGTAACTTAAAAATTGCATGCAGTACATTCACTCCAAAAAGTAGATGTGTCCGCACTTTTCCTCGTTAAAGACCTCCTGCAGTTCGACTCTAGTAAAACCCAAATTTTCCTTGGGCAACCCCATGGGAATTATTTACTGGGTGTCTTCCGACCACGCACGGACCGGAACATCAAATGTCTGTAACTTAATTGTTGTGTCTGTCCATAATTCAACATCTGCCTGCCTCAGCACGGCACACGGCTGGACACTAAACTGGTTTTGGTGCCCAAGAGTACGCAAAAAGGCCCTTCCGAGATCGATGTCTAGGACGAGAAAATTGACCTTACCTGGATAGGGTGAGAAATCGAAGTATTACAGTTGAAGTATCTCTCGGAGGGAATGTGGGAAGGGTGTTAAACATATGGAAGCGGTTGTTTGAGAAAAATATCTAACTCAATGTGAAAGTGTGGTGTATTTTGAATTCTTCTTGGGAACATTAGTGCCACAGTTAGGCTTTATAAGACCCCAAAAGACCGTGCGATACAAAAAAATTCACTGTTTATGACAGTCAAATCTGGTGCCAGCTGGGTAGGGCATTTGTATGCAATTTGGACACTTCTCCGGGGAGAAGGGATGTTACTAAAACGGGGAACGGGGAGCGGGGAGCGGGGAGCGGGGAGCGGGGAACGGGGAACGGAAGTCTGGGAACGAGTTGTCAGGGGAAACCTCCATAAAAATCCAATATGGCCGATGATCGATGATAGAGAACCGTCGAAACAAACTTAACCAATAACGGCGTTACTTTACTTGAACTATATGCTCATGAGGTGCTTGAAATAATACGGAGGTAATAACTTCATGACGTTTTTCACCTTTTTTTGCGTTTTACTAAACAATTATCCGTAGGAAACAAAATGTGCTCCAACAGCAGTTGAAAAAAAAAGCCAATCGGGACAAAAACTCTCAAAGCACATGTACAGCCATATTTGGAACTCAAGCGAATCTATATTGAGTCTAGCCCACAAAGCAATTAACTACTTTTCCATGATAGATAACATACATCGAAGTAGTCAAGTAGCTTGTGTGCAAACTTCTTCTATTTCCTTTGATAGAGATGACTGCTTTGAAAAATGTTATTGACCACGTCATCACATAATTAGTAAGACTACTTTAACAATCTGGTTCTGCTTTTAATATGATTAGATCTACTACACTGCAAGCATTCATGATATTGAAGTGTTTCACTGATCCATGAAAATAAAATAATATCATTTTATTATTTTGTGAAACAATTTGTTTCAGGTCAGTTTGCCCAGTTTAGACCAGTATAATGACCCTAATGGAACCTAATTCACTCATTTTCCTCACCCTAATCAGTAACTGCTTCAAAGTCGTACAGTGGCCATTTGTCTTTCTGCGAAATATCCCTGACGACCCTTTCCTGAATCAAAACCATTGGATGGCATTGAATGCAACATTCTCACTCACTGCAGATCCTCAATTAACCCCCCGCCCCCCTAAGAATGAGATCCCAAACCCCTCCCTTTTGAAGAAAAATGTCGTAAAATAATCAAAGTACCTCTTCATGGGCACGAAACGTTTGGTGCAATTCATACCATACAATATCGGTGTATCAAGTACTGTTCTCGGTGCAGGAGGAGGGGGTACTATAATGGCCTAAACAGAGCCTGAAGCCTGAAGGGAAGGGGTTTTTATAGTTGAAGTATATGAAAGGGACCAAAATGAGATCAGTCACAGATGCATTTTATGGATGTGAGAGACAAGAAAACCTGTTTTTCTAAAGATGGTGTATCTACAGCAGTTAAAAAGGGACGCAGCGTTCAAAATTAGGTATGTGAAAGGGGTACCATTTGTCACAAGAGGGTATACAAAACGGGTACCTTTTCTGTCTAAAATGGTACATACAAAGGGTAAAGGGTTGGTCCCTGGGGCAGAGCCTCTTTGGTGAGCAACATTGATGATGTGATGCTTGATGGTAGGTGCACTGCAATATTACTGAATCAAGCTAATAAAGCAGCTTGACAATATTAACTGGTTTAAGTCACTGACGCATTCAGTTTTACACTGAGCTTGAAATATTTTTCTCCACAGTAAAAATAATGTTCATTAAAGAGAAGCAGAGCTCCCCTCTGCAAAAACATTAAAGGAGTGCCCCTAGAAAAAAAAAAAAAAAAAAAGCATCCAGAGGGCTAAACAGAGGAAGTATACTTACCATGCATATTTTAACAGCTAGCCTTTAGAAAGTACCTTCCAACCAAAGACTTCAAAGTACTTCCCCACGTATACTTGCAACACTTAATATTGCAGCTCAGTTGTGGTTCACTTTTATCCTAAGTTTGAATTTTATTCTCTTTGTTTTGAACTCATAATCATAAAATTCATATTACCGTACCCCCAAACAAAGGGAAGCAAAATTTAAACCTAGGTTATAATTAAATAAAACCACAGCATAGCCATTTGCTTTGAAACAACTGATATCTTTAAGACCAAGGTATGATTGATGTTCCTGGCACATTGCCCGTTAATATGTTTAAAGTTGCCTTTTATTGATGTATTAAATAACCTGATCCATCTTATCTTTTCAAATAATACAATTGCACTTACTTCTCATCATAGGATTGTAAATATAATATTATTAGACTTACAGTTTTATCTCATCGCCAACATGTTTTAATTTGGGCTTGAAAAACCGCTACCGCTAAGAAGGAGCTCCACTGCTACACTATTACTGTCGAGGAAATACACCTGGCTGCTTCGATCTACGTTATCTTTCAGCATGTATTTAAGCCAAAACCGTACGAAAAGTGTCAAGCAAAAGTGGTTCATTGCTTTGTGAGTTAGACCCAGTATAGATTCGCTTGAGTTCCAAATATGGCTGTGCTTTGAGGGTTTTTGTCCCGACTGTAGCTTCTTTCAACTGCTGTTGGAGCATATTTTGTTGTTTAGTAAAACGCAAAAAGGTGAAAAATGTCATGACATTATTACCTCCGTATTATTTCAAGCACCTCATGAGCATATAGTTCATTAGTAAAATAGCGACCTTAAGTGTTGTTTCGACGCTTCTCTATCATCGATCTTACCGGGTCGTTGATCCTTACCGGCCATTTTGGATTTTTATGGAGGTTTCCGCTGACA